ATAACAAACAAACAATATTTCAAATCAAGTAGAACGATGGTTCAGGTGTTCTTTACAGAATAGTTCAAAAAGTTCGGACGCCTCCCATGCTAATCCTATCAAGTGTTTTATTACACAAAAACTCCTTTTCGGTAATAATTATTTTCTGCTGGAGGTATATATTTCAAGGATTACGTTGAATTCATGAAAAAAATTTGATATGTATATATTTTCAAACTATCAAAATAAAAAAGAACAAAATATGTGGAGTTCATATGAACACAACCAAACAAAAATAATCAAAAAATATGTATTCAATCAATGAGAGATATAAAAATAAATATAACGAACTGAATAACAAAACACCCAGAACAACGATATATGAATGAATAGGGAAAAAACGTTGAATCCTTATACAAACAAAACCAAAGAAAATAAACTGTGAAAATGATCAACATATGAAAATGAAAAGAAAAATAGATATCGCAAAATGAAATGCACTAATAACAAAAAATATATATATACATCTAAATCACAAACTAAAAATTGAAATCTTGACTATATCTCATCCTGAAAGTTTAGTGATTTAACTTTTTTTTATTATATTGTACTTAATTCCACTATTTTTGATTTTGCAATAACTGTTCAACAGAATATTTGAATTGATTTTAATTTCTGCAAAATTTTCCAAAACTTTTTGATGTGACTTACATTGTAGAAATATTGTTTCGAATTTTTCAGACACCAATATTCGTACGTCTGAACCATACGCCATTCAGAAATAAAATGAGAAATAAAAAGTATAACGCCCTTTACAAGTCCAAGAAATTACCGCGAAATCGTAATACAGCGAAATTTGGGTAGGTATTTTCACGCGTTCTTTATATTAAATTTCTTTCGGACTCATTGTAGGTAACTTTACAATTTTTTCACTATTCAATTGATGCATTATTCTAGTTTTATATACTGAGTCAGTTTTATCTTATTTCGATTATAAATTTGCAAAAAATAGTATTCTGTAGTACAACGTCAACGTCCTGATTTTCAATAAAATGAAATTTCTTTACAACGCCATAACTCGGTATTGATTCATCCTATTGGATTCATTTTTTCACCAAAAGTAGGGGAATTCGTTGGGGATCACTTCGTCTCGATTCAGTGTGCTTCTAAAATTTATAGTAAATGAGCTATAGCCTATCAATTACGAACGCACCAGTACGAACTGATGTGAAATTTCAACCTACTAGTCTGACGTCAGCGTCGAGAGAGAGGGGATAGACTACGGCCCGGTGAGATAGAGTAGGCCCTGGTTCAGGAGATCATTTTCTCATTCTGCAGTGAATATTTTCAACGCTTTTCCAATGACTATCAAAGATGAATCGATTAATGCTTTCAGAAAATGTCATAGAAATCTTTTGGGTCAATAATTCTTACTCCTTGTGCACTTTTTTAATATCATTTATTGATATCAATGTTTCTGTTATATGTATTATTCTTTGATTCAAACATTATGCATAATTAATTCTATAGTCTGATAAGATTGCATTATGTAGGTATGTATATAGGTAACCATTTTTTTGTTGATCTCTTTGTGTAACTGGTACTCGGTTAAGAAGACTTCGCCGAGGAAAATCGAATTAATTACATTTCATCATTAATATTATCATAATTATTATTATTATTATTATGGTAAATTGGAAAATAAGTATAGCTTGATGAATGAACTAATGGCCCAAAATGTTTATTGACGGAGATATATCCTTCCAAAGTTGATAAAATTACAGTAAACGTCGCACCTGATGGACGGTGATCTACTCGTGATTACTCCTCCTTTTGAGGATAGAAAGAGAAGGAAGGTCTTGGTATTTTTTCCGGAATACTTTCTTATGATAGAAAACTATCGTCCAATAACTGCCCCATATGGACTTTCAAAAATATTTGAGTATGCATTCCTGGATCGTCTCAATTCCTTTTTGAATCAACACAACATTTTTACACATATGCAGCATGGATTTCGCGAAAAGAACCTTTAAAAAAGCCATGTTTTCACTATACAATGAAGTCATAAGATATGTTGAAGCAATGTTTTGTGATCTAAGCCGTATATTCGACTGTGTCAATCACCAGAAGCTCTCAGCAAAACTGGAAATATTTGAACTAATTAAGAGGTGTCTCGCTCAGCTGGATATCCTCATTTCTCAAAAATCGGAGCCAGTATGTGTCCCTTCAGGCAAACATGAATAATGAAATTCGAAGAATTGATTCAGAGCCTTTGGATATAGAAATGGGTGTACCTCAGGGATCCATTTTGGGACCCATTCTGTTTATTTTGTATGTAATTATACGGCCTATGTTGATGACTTATCTTTGATTATTTCTGCGTCAGATAACATAATTTTGGAGAGTAAATGTTTCAGTGCAGTTAGTCAGATATCAATTTTTTTTATTAATCATGATTTATCTTTCAATAATTCAGATAAAACATAGATTATTCGCATACATAATGAACAGAATAAAATAGAAAGATTTAGTTTCATGGTTGACAATGTGACATATCTGGAGACTAACGGAAGTGTTAAGTTTCTGGGTATCTTCCTTGACAAGTTTCTGAACTGGAATGTCCACTGTCAACACTTAACTTCCAAGCTTAATTCCCTGAAGTTTCTTTCTATGAATTTGCGCTCGGTTTCAAATTGAACTCAACTGCTGAATATTTATTACTCTCAGGTAGAGTGCAGACTTAGGTATGGTGTCTGTTTTTGGGGTAGTTCAAGCATGGCGCAAGATGTATTCATTGCCCAAAAACGCATATGGCGATGTATCGCAAAGGTTTCGGCATGAGAATCTTGTAAACCACTCTCCAAGGATTTTAATGTGTCAACGTTAGTATCTATATATATGTCAGAAATTGGTCTGTATAGGTATACAGGGTGTCTGTAAAAAGGTTGGGACATGGCTCGGCTGTGGACTCCTGGGATAAAATCAAGTTGATTTAGGCCAACTTACCTATATCCAAAATCGTCTCGTTGAGTTTGTACAAGGCGTTGAAGTTTTTTCGAAAAAAATAATTTTGCTTATAAAAAGAGTAGGCTGAGATCGATTTTTATAATTTTTTGGCATGGCATGTTCTGTGACTGATGTAAGTCACGTTTTGAGATGTTTTCGATCATCATCAGTGACGTGCAAGTGGTGTTTCAAACAACCATGTTGCCGTACAAATTTGGTGATAACTTTTCAGAGGTCAGACTGGAAACTTCCAGTTTCTTTCCAGAAAGATAGTCCCTTCAGAAATATTTTTTGTACCGTGTTAATTTTCGATTAGTCTCGAGGTTTATTTGCAAATAAATAATTTCTGATAATTATTCCAATGAGTCGGACTGTTTATTGATCATGGCTACAATCTATTCTTATTGTAAACAAACTGATAAGTTGCTGGTCCTCGCGGGCTTTACAAGAACTCTCGCCTTACTTTAGCGATAACTATTCAGGACATAAGGTGAGCACTTTAACGCCTTGTACCAACTTAACGAAACGATTTTGGATATAGGTAAGTTGGCTAAAATCAACTCATTTTTAACCCAGGAGTCAACAGTCAAGCCATGTCTAAAAAATGCATAAGATAAGATTATTTATTTGCAAATGAACCTCAACAATAATCACGATACAAAAATATTTATGAAAGGAATTTCTTTCTAAAAAAAAACTGGAAGTTTCCAGTTCCACCTCTGAAAAGTTATCACCAAATTTGAACGGCAACATGGCTGTTTGAAACACTTGCAGGTCACTGATGATGATAAAAAACATCTCAAAACGTGACTTACAGTCACAGAACATGCCATGCCAAAAATTATGGAAATCGATCTCAGCCTACTCTTTTTATGAGCAAAATTATTTTTTTACAAAAAACTTCAACGCCTTGTACCAACTCAACGAGATGATTTTGGATATAGGTGAGTTGGCCTGAATCAACTCGTTTGTATACCAGGAGTCCACTGTCGAGCCATGTCTCAACCTTTTACAGACACCCTGTATATATGAAAACCGGTCAGTTCTTGAAGTGGATAAAAATGTTCATCACTATAACACCAGGATTATAGAGATCAATTTCATGTACCATTTGCTAGAAGACTCTAAGAGTAACCTCCAGTTCACCTGAGCACATCGGAAGAAGAATTTTCAATAAACTTCCTGACCACATAAGGAATGTTTGCTCTTTCCAAAAAGACGCTTTTCAGTTTTTTTTTGCAAGAATGTTTTTATTCGTTGACAGAAATTCTAGATATAGGTCTTGTTCTTTGAATCGCCTTTTCTACATTTTCTGTCTTTTTTTTTTCTCATCCTCATGTTCTGACAATTTCCTATACAATTTGTGATATTGTCTCAGTGGAAAATAAATAGTTATTTATTATATACAAGGGAAAAAAGTAGTAGATTCTAGCTACGCGTCGGGAGACAAAAAACCGTGAGCTAAAATGTATAATACACTATTTTTTTCTGTGACAGGAGAAAGGACGAATCTATATTGAGAAGATATTACATTATTTTGAAATCTGAAAATTATCGATGTGAAATTTTAAGTTTTTAACAGTAGGGACACCTGCGTTGTATATAAATATCTGATGTCACTTCTGTCAGTATCATTCTGTGATTTGATTTCAAAACATTGCAAATTTAGTGGTTGTTTCATATATAAGTAACCGCGAATTCGTATGGAAGATGAAAGGACTTGCAGGTCTTTCTCATTTTTCGAAACTATAGCACAACAAAAGCCATCAACAGTGTATATATATGTGATATATATCCGGGAAAAAAGTAATTTATGAAAAGTGACATTTTATTACCTGCCAATAGAGATGAAATGCCACAGGAAAAATATTATTATTATTATTATTACGCAAAGAATCACAAAGCTTTGCTGTTCTCCAGATGAGTTTCGGTAGGGATTTGTTCGATATATGTCGAGTTCGTCTGACAAAGAATAGTGTGACATGTTGTCATAGATACTCATTGAACAATTTCAGATACAAGATGCGTTAGGAAGGACATGGCAGTGGCTGTATTTCGTTTCGATGGTGATTTTAGGAGCCTTTTTCGTTATGAACCTAATTCTTGGTGTGTTGAGCGGGTAAGTGCTTTTTATCGTCGATGTATGAATAAAAATAACATAGTTTTACACGCCGTAGGGAAGTGTTGAAAGTGAATGAATGTATCATGTTTAAATATTCATGCATAGCATGTATAACCACATAAAACTCGACTCTAACATTTCTACTCCAGATAAGAATCAGTTCGCGGATATTATTTCAAAAATTCGATTGCGTGTCGTTTGAAGTTGATACCGTCAGGGTGCATGACTACTTACTTAAAATTGTATTTGAGGTGCTGCTGTGACAGACCGAAACCATGATTTTTCATTATACAGGGTGTCCGAAAATTATGCGCAAAAAATCATGGGAATGATTCTGCATGAGAAAACATGAAATTCATTTCGTATATATACTTGGGTCCGGAAAAGCATAGTTTTCAAGATACTGTGTGTTGAACTTTTTAGAAAAAATCGGTGTTTATGAATATCTCAAATATAATTCCACCGATTCTTTTGAAATTCGGTAAATTGGAATTGTGAAATCCAGTGGCGTCCCGTGGGCACCCTACCGTATATTATTGTCAATAAAATGTGCGCCACTGATTTTTCCAAATTCTTTCATCTTCATATCCTAATGGTTAACTATCAATACAACATTTTGGTTTTTTGAATTAATTTGATATTTTTCTGCATTTCCGTCGGAAAAAATAAATATCAATTCATTGTATAAATTTGTGCAAATATGTTTTGAATAGTTTGTATTATCGGAAACTACGCCTTTCTGAACCGAGAATACATAGTTCTCAATATAGAGAGTGTGGAGTGTGCCAAACATGTAAGGAAAAATTTTTTAAGAAAATGAACCGTCATATTCATTCTATGTCTATGGACATTGATCACGAATTCATTTTTACCCCATTTTTTGAAGGAATTTTTTTGACACAAATTTATGCAATTAATTGGTATTTATTTTTCCCATGGAAATGAAGCAAATTATCAAAACAATTCAAGAGACCAAAATGTTGTATTCTTAGTTGGTCAATAGGTTATGAAGATACGGAAATCAAAAAAATCAGTGGCACACATTTTATTGACAATAATATTCGGTAGGTTGCTCCTTGGGACGCCACTGGATTTCATAATTCCAATTGAATTATGGCTATATCAGCCCCTCCTGCCGGAAAATATCATTGCCAAATTTCGAAAGAATCGGTGGAAGGACATTTGAGATATTCCTAAAAAACCGATCTTTTATAAAAGTTTTAACACACTGTATATTGAAAAATATGCATTTCCGGGCCCACGTACATATCAAATGAATTCCTTATATCATCATGTAGAATCACCCCCTTGATTTTTTGCGCATAATTTCCGGACACCCTGTATAATCGAAGAGCCTCTGAAATCTGAGTTTAGACAACGTACAGGGTGTTTCTGAGACCTGCATTCGAGTAACGAAAGCCTTGGGCAGATTCCTTTTATTCAAGTAAAATATGGAAAATGACATAGGTTGTCGAAATTTTGTGTCCGAAAAACGTATTGATATTGTCAGCAGACCGAGTGCGAATGATGATACCGAGAAAGAGACTCTCAAGAACAGCTGGAACAGTTCTAGATATTTTCAGTCATTGGACCTGGATGAGATCATTTTTATTTTCGAAAGTAGAAATGAAGAAGTGAAGTTATGGAGACTGTTGTTATCCAGGGTGATTCATTAAGAATGGGCAATATCTGAACTACAGATAGTAAAGACCAAAATATGAAGATTCAGCCTAACATCACTAATAAGAATGTTGCTGGCTTAGGAGAAGATTTTATCTTGAAATTCCTCAATAAATTTGTAAGTTTTGACAGCATGAACATGACATTTTGTAGTTTTTGATTTTCTGATACAATCATGATGAATACGAATCCGTAACTTATTTTGTGATTGCTCATAGAGGCCGCTGGTGGCACTCTGTTTCTTCATCAAATCATATCTTCCTTGTCCATTAAATCCAAATAAGTCAAAAATCCCGTTCAATTTCACTTCATATAATTTTTCATTTACAAATTGTCTAGCTCTAACGGTTCTTGCTTCCTACATTTTTATTATTCAAATTATATAGAGTTAGCAAAGTGACAGTGGAACAAATGCAGTAAACAATAATGACAATCACTAACAACGCCAGAGACAAACAGAATCCCAAAGTAAATGTTTGACCGAAGAAATGAAGAAATTTAAAATAAAATGTTCCCTTGCAACATTTTCATGAGGCATGTTGGGCTAATTCTTCATATTTTGGTGTTTACCATCTGTAGTTCAGAGATTTTTTGCTCTAAATGAGTGATCCTGTATAATCAAATACAAAGAAATGACCAAAACATCACTATAATATCTTGAAAGGCGACACCTATTTCGGCAACTGAGTTGCCCTCGTCAGTACTTTGAGGAAAATTGTGCTATTAGAGTTTTTGCTGAGATATTTCTTGCTACCATTACAAGAAATCATATTACCGTTATACATTTTCGAAAAGAAGCAGCACCTTGAAATCCTATAATAGCAATAACGACTTTGAGAGTGAATTTCCTGCCACAGGAAGGTATACTTCTGTCGCTATCAGGCAGCCACTCTGGGACAGCATGATTTTTTTATAATTATCTAGCTGAACTACTACCGATAGTGAATTATATGCTTGTGGCTGCAAGGTTCATCGCAACTGCACTCACTACCATAATAATACAACTGTCAGTCTGCCACGAAAATAATAATATTTGACGAACCTACTTGGGGTTATTTAGCACCTACTTATCGTTATTCGATATTTTGCTGATTTGTCTCCCCCTATATAAGCATTTGTTAGACATCTTGCTTGATAAATCGCATTCACAGTAGTTGGGCTCTTGATGCAAACCCATGTACAGGACGATAATCTCGACGACACGACAGTTACAAATACTTCCCCTCTTGAATTCAATTCATTATTTAAAATCTGAATCTGAATCCAAATATAAAATGGAAGCATTTTTAAACAAGTAAAACGATCTTCCGTGTCCCTTTCAGTGCTCTTGTAGATCTAAGTGCTTCATCAGTTATTACCAGGATTGATGGAATGATAAAGGTGAATTTTTCCGAGGTATTTCGACTGAAATTCAAATATTTTACATTCAACATTTCCTTCTTTTTGATACCATGAAACTTTCAAATCGTCAAATATGTTCCAGAGCTTCTCTATTCATACCAAACATCAGGGTGGAAATTATGGAAAGTGAAATTGGATATCAGTCAGAATTTCACCTTTCTTGATGACAACAATCCTGGAAAATAACTAAATAACTACAGTAAGAAGGCCATGCAACTATCTATATGACCACCCATCAAGAGTAGCAAAGTTTCCTACCTACGATTATAATAACATTGCCCTACTCCCGTTATTAAATGCACTCACTAGCGGTAGCAAAGTCAGATACCTACTACAGAAACATCGTCTAATAGCAATATACAGATGCACTCGCTAGTAGCAGCAAGGTTTCATATCTAATAATCGCAGATGGGTTATAATCAGCAAAGTCGACTTTATAATCACAGGTGATAACTCGCTTGTTCCCTATGCTATTAGAGTTTCTTGCTGGGGTAATTCGATTTCTGACTATGGTTAATAGGAATTCTCCTCAGTGTATAAATCAGAGTCAGAGATTAGCTTACCAAAGTATTTTTCAACATCTTCTTCAGAAACAACCCTGCTCAAATTGAACAAGTTTGAAACGAGGATGGGACCTAAACCTCGATTTATAAATGATCTCTATTGAGATCATTGTAAATGATTTCAGGACTGTTCAATTCTTTATTGTTTGTCACATGTTCGAGAAGTGATAGGATGGAAGCACTCAAGAAAATGTTAGGCAGCACTTACAATATGTTCTTCGAACCTTGTACAACTTCTTCGACGCGTGTTCCCAATATATTCCATATGTTTCACAGTCTTATTGTATTCCATGGATTTCTGACGTATTATCAATATTGATATCATCCAAAAGACTATGAATGTTTTTTTTCAGTATAAGTTACGTTCAGATATAATGATTTGAATAGTATTCTCAAATCGCAAAGGCTAAGCGAAGAATATACCACTCATAGACTTCTAGACAACCCTGCAGATGCAATTGATATTAATGATGTCAAGCGATGTTAAAAATTGTAATGACTGTAACATAAATTAAATTGGGCAAACATTTCGAAGTAAAGACACAAGATTTGAAGAACATAGTGTTCAGTTCAGATGTAATGGGTTTGATAAATATATTTATGAAACTGGTCACCCTATCACTTTAGCAAGTTCGAGACATTTCAAACATGTAACAAATAATAAGGAATCGAACACTTCGGAAATTATTTACACCAGTCACAACATGGATCAGTTAATTAATCAAGTTCAAGGTGCCATACCTAGTTCCAAACTGTTATTTCTGGAGCATATCCCGAAAGATACTATAGTCAGCTCATCTTGATATATTCTCTAGCTCTACTAAGGATGGAATAACGTAATTGCCGAAATACGTATTCAGAATTTTCTAAATGTCATCGTTGATCAGTTTTTGTATTGGAGCGCCAATGAAGTCTCGAATTTTAGGGAGTTCTCTAAAGAGAGAGAGAAAGCGAAAGCCAGAGGGGACTTTCACAAGCTTCGAGAGAAGCAGCAGTTAGAAGAAGATCTGAGAGGTTACTTAGATTGGATAACCCAGGCCGAAGACATTGAACCGGAAGGAGAAGACCACCAGAACCAGGATAACAGAAACATGACGAAAAACGAAATGGAGTCGACGGATCACATAGGGGAGGAGGAGATTCAACAGGAGTCGTGGTTCAAGAAGAAAAAGAAGGATTTCGAGAGGGTGAATCGGAGAATAAGGAGGTCTTGCCGCAAAGGTGTCAAGTCACAATCCTTCTACTGGCTCATTATTGTTTTAGTATTTTTGAATACCGGCGTTTTAGCTACGGAACATTACAATCAACCGCATTGGTTAGATGATTTTCAAGGTAAAAATACACCAACGTAATTCTTTTTTATTCAACAAACTGTGGGGAAATTTTTGTTCCACCTCAACCCCGGAGGGTTTTGTAATCGCAACTTTCAGCATTTCAACAAAATGAGGAAGTTTCCCTCATTGAAGTTTTCATCTCACTGTTTAATTTTTTCTTTTTTTTTTTTTCGTAGGATCATACTTCTCTTCAGAAAAGAAATATCAACGTACTACTTAGAAAAGCCACATTCACACATGACACAGAATTAAAATACGTTTCCCTGTGTCAGTACGACGCCGTTGTCGGCATCTTCAATATGTCTAGATATCCGGAAATTGTTCTTTGAATACATTATAACAATATCATGACAGAAATGGATATGAGTTTTTCAATCCTACTTCAACGAGTATTATGAATAATTTCCATAAATCTCTCATTTGCTGGATCTAGTTGATTATAAATGAAGATGAATTATGATATTCTGCAATAGTATCTATAATTTCTCACTTCCGTTATATTACAAAATGATAATCATAAATTGTCAGTCATTATTTGAATGAATTCGTTCCTTTATAAAACTTATCTGTCAAACAGGTCTCTTCATGTAGTGGTCGACGGAGTTTCATCTGACTCTCTTATCATGAATGCTCGTGTTCCGCAAGGATCAATTCTAGCTTCAACACTAGATCTAGCCCATATCAACGATTTGTTGAAAGCAACTTCATGTCCAGTACACAGCTTCGCGGATGATAGTACCCTCCATACCGCCTTCTCTTCCAGGGCTCCAATACCAGCCAGCCAAATCAGAAACGAACGAGGAAGAAATGTTGACAACATAAATATGGACTTGGCAACAATTCTCGAATGGGGATCCAATAACTTGGTGAATTTCAATGCAAACAAAATACAAGCATGCCTTTTCTCTAAAAAAACCGATCTCACTGTGCCCAACATAAGCTTGTCAGGAGTAACCATACCTTTGAAGACATCCATTTCGATGCTTGGTATTACTATCAGCAATAACATTTCTTGGGAAAATCACGTGAGATCAATTGCAAAAAGTGCATCCCAAAAATTTGGTTTTCTGTTCCGGGCCAGGAGCTATTTCACTTCCAGTCAGCTGATCATGATCTATAAGGCACAGAAACTGTTGCATTCTGTGCAAACAAGGGCAAATCGTCTCTTAGGTGATTCCTCGCTCACAAACTCACTCACTTCTCTGGAACACCGTAGAAATGTGGACGATCTGGCTCTATTTTATAGATATTTTCATGGATGATGCTCCTCTGAAATATCAACAAGTGTTCCGCCCTTGGTAGTCCCCGCGAGATTGACCCGTTGAGTTGAGGCTTCCCACCCCTTCTTGGTCACTTCGGAGACCTGCAAAACATCTCTTTCCAAAGACTCGTTCATCCAACGAACAGTGAAGCTCTGGAACACATCGATTTTTCGTTAGCCTATCCTTTGTCCACAGTTTATAGTTGTTCTGTTAGTTAGGTGATGATGCCAACCTATGTATCTTCTTCTTTTATTTTTCATATCCGTTTTTTATTGAGTAATTAGTTATTCGCTAGCTATATTTTTTCATCTTTAGCAATATTTAGACTAGATTCAGAATGTACGTCACAGTTTGCCGCCCTGAAAATTAAAAATTGTTTTATTTTGAAAATAAAAACGTTCCGAACTCATTTTATGAAAATTTATCTGAAGGAAACTTTCCCATTCAATCATAAAGTACACAATTTTTATTCAAAACGTCTTTTCCATTTGGTAATAAATATAAAAATTTTGGATAATTTCGAAAGAATCACAACGAAACAATATTGCAAATTGGTCAAGAGCTACGGTATACAGGGGTGTGTGGTGGAACAGATAGAATCACACTGTATAGATATATATTTTTCTTGTTTTTAGAGTATACCAATATGTTCTTCATTGCTTTGTTCACGATGGAGATGTTGTTAAAGATGTATAGTCTAGGTTTTCAAGTGAGTATCCTTTCACAACCTGATGCAATCAATCAGGTCAAAAGCACGAAATCATTCATGTTTTATTAGATACCATTTTGTCGCTTCAAGCAAACAAACAAGTGTGATAATATGTCTTTTGAAGCGACTGTAATGTGATATACAGTGTCTTTCATGAAGTTGACATCATGAAGGAAAAACGTTTGTTAATAATTCATTTCGACTTATTGGGCGTTAAGTTTTGCATAAAAAAGATAAATAACCAGAATTCTACCAGAAAATATCTCATATATGATATATCATCATTTTCGTTCTAGAAAAATAATACTTTGAATGTTCAAATTACAACCAAATATCTGTCGTATCCTTTTACCTCCAGGACTTTTGAGACGTTATTCAGGAATTCAGAACCAAGGTCAGAACACCATCAATATCAACATGAAACCACATTCATACCTTGGAATAAAATTATTCCGTATAAATATCAGTGGCGGCTCTTCAAAGTAGACAACTGAGGCTGAGATTTCATATACAGGATATACCTATATGTAGATAAAATGTGAACAATTTTAGAACAACAATTAACATTTGAATCTCACTTTCCTGTGTTATTCCTCCTCTTGGAAGCAAATAAAATGTGTATTCATCTCCAAAATTCTATTTAATCATCTTCTCATTGTGAATATTCTCAATCATAGCATATTTGGATCGAAGATTCATACTCAATTTTGCCGATAGTTCCTCAGCTCCTCGATAGAATATATGAAATATATGAAAAATTCCATTTGAAAAAAAAACGTTCACATATCCTGTATATGAAATGATGAAATCGAGCAAATAAAAACATTTTCTGGAAGGAAACAACATCTCATTCAAGTGCCTTTTTCCAAATTTCGAATATCTTTTTCCGTTTTTGAGATATCAGCTTTAAAAGTCGTGAAGTCCATAGTCAATCACCCTACAGTGGTGCTTCCAGAAGTAAGACGACAGGGGTACTTTCATCTCAAATTAGGCGACACACTGTATATTTGAATTCAGAAAGGAAGATCTCGATAAAAATGTGAAGATCATATGGTTATATGGATTGTTACTTTTGTAAAAATATGTTCATTTGTGAATCACCTGATCTTTGGTTTGATTTTTAGTAAATAGTATTCGAAGTAATAAACTCCAGCAAATGCGACTACCGACCGAGTAGTCCATTTTTCATCTTTTTGAAGCAAAACTTAACGCCGAATTCGAAACAAATTATAAAAAAATGTTTTTTGATATGATGCCAACCTTATGAAAGACACTGTATAGTCTGTATATGTTTTTCTATTTTGCATTGATTGAAGTTGTTTCGAGATAGTACTCTGCTCAACTTCTATCAAGTTTTTTTAATTTATCTATTTGGTATTCCAGGGATATTTCGTATCGTTATTCAATAGATTCGATTGTTTTGTTGTTATCGGAAGTATCATGGAGATGATTTTAACAAACAGCAAAGTGATGCCTCCCCTAGGAATATCTGTGTTACGTTGTGTTAGATTGTTGAGAGTTTTTAAAGTTACAAAGTGAGTAGTCGGTACACTTTTCATCCTATCCACGAAAGACACACTTTTTTTGTTGCAGATATTGGCGATCGTTATCAAATTTAGTTGCCTCTTTGTTGAATTCCATTCAATCGATTGCATCATTGTTGCTCCTACTTTTCCTGTTCATTGTTATTTTCGCACTTCTCGGAATGCAAGTTTTCGGTGGAAGATTCAACAAAGATACCGAAGAAAAAACCAGATCGAATTTTGACAGCTTTTGGCAGAGCCTGTTGACAGTGTTTCAGGTAACAAAAGCATTTTCCCAATGTAAGTCATGCAAAAACCTTGGTAACTCAGCTGCTCACATTAGATTTGTTTTATCTGGGCTGTTATTTTGACAATTTACTGCCAAAGTATTGCACACTAATCGAACGACACCCTGTTTATCCTTGTATCTATTGTTGGTCTGAAATTTCCACGTTTTTAGATATTGACAGGCGAAGATTGGAATGCTGTCATGTACGAAGGCATAGCAGCTTATGGAGGCGTACAATCAATCGGGGTTCTCTCCTGCATTTATTTCATCATCCTCTTCATCTGCGGCAACTGTATCCTTTTCATCAAGTGGTAAATGGTTATCCAACTAGATTCTCCAATGTTGGCGCAACTATCAGTCTAGATCTAGAAGCTTTAACAATGAAGTCAATGAGACGTGTTTCCAGGGTCTCAATCGTTCGATACATTTCGTGAAATGGATCGCTTGAACACCGCTCAACCGCCAAATTTCCACTTCAAGCAGCAAATTCCGGGATTCGAACTCTTTAAAAATGATCGCCATGTTTGAGTGTGTTAATCCATCCCCGTACAAGGTAGATGTAAACTGTAACAGAGTAACTAGTTAAAAAGAACGATATCTTTCGGCATCACATTCTAAGGATTTCCGTGGAACCGCTCCCATAATATAATTCGAGAGGAGTCTTCGGATAAAACATTTTATTCAACTCGGCATAAATAGCTCATGACAAAAAATAGAACAACCTTCAAAACATAATGATACACCCTTAACAACATAGTTGTAAAAAATTCACTACTAATAATTATAAACTAATTAGTTATTGTGAGGTACCTGAGAAAATATTAGGACCATTACTTTTCATTATATTCGTCAATGATATAGAATACATGACATCAATGCGGATTGCCTGATATATGCAGATGATCTAAAATTATTCACCAGAATCACAGAACATAATGATTGCTTTTTTCTTCAGGAAGACCTGACGAAAATTAATGACTGTTGTACACGAAATCGCCTGCTACTCAATGTTTCTAAATGCTGCATCGTATCAGTTTCTCTAAAACGAACTGTTACGCACCTCGATTACAATATCAAAAAAAATTCCAATGCCTACCTCCTGTCCCTATCCTCCCTAGGAACGCACGATGTTCTTTGAACATTATAGGGATTCCCTCTCGTGCGCTCCAAGCGATAAAAAAAAAAACTGCTTTACCAAGAACCTCCACTATACGTGACCTTGGTAATCAAAAATGTCGCTAACTTCAGAGACATCAGTACCTATAAACATCTTTTTTCATCATATGTAAGGTCAAAATTAGAATATGCCTCTGTTGTTTGGTCTCCGCATCAGATCACGCATATAGAAACATTGGAGAGAGTGCAAAGGCGATTTCTGAAGTTTCTTGCTTTTAAAGAAGATGGGGCTTATCCTCACATTGGATATCCTGAGGTTGAGCTCACTCCGAGGTTTGATATTAACCTATTAGTAAATCGGAGAATGATTGCACAACAGGTGTTTCTGTGGAAAATACTCCATGGGTGCACTGATTGTGCAAATATTCTTCACATGCTTGATTTTCACATTCCTAGGTTAACACGTAGACAACATCTTTCATTAGATCTACCCATCCCGCGCTTGAATACCATGAAATTTTCCTCACTATACATTCCATATGCAAGATACATGACGACCATGTATCGCATCAAATAGACATATTCTCCTGTAGTGTGGTATCAATAAATGAGTTAAATTTTTGATAACTCTCAACTCTGTATCGTCATCAATATTTCATCCTAAACATTTGTACTTGTTATACCTATTGTTAAATATTATGTACTCATTATCCCTACTCTGAAATTGGATGTATATCTGTTGAGGAGTAGTGTGAATAAATGAAAAAAAGAAATTATTTGAAAATGAACGTGACGGGACCGCAAGTTTCGTAGTAGACAAACAATAATCGTAGTGAGAAATCTAATTTGTCATCTTCACTGTTCTTGATGGTTTTCCGGCTGTTGTGTGATCAGGTTTCGGTGTATCAGTTACTCATTTATAGCCAGTTGCATAAAGCTCCCTGTCAACTAAACAAGTAATCAACTCGTTACCATGGATATAAACAAAATGAATAGTTATTAATCGTCTGTCAAGTGCAAGTACAATTGGAAGTCTAGCAACCGGTCCTTAATATTATAACTCTAAATCAGACTATTTTGAGAATAAATATTGCTCGGCAGTTTGAAATCTTTAAAGAAAAGTTAGTTACAGATATTCTAAGCGTTTTTGTTTGATGGCTTGCTTTCGTTGATGAAAAGCGTGTTTAAGATATGGAAAATTTCAAATAACCCCAGTAAGACATTACAAAATGACTTATTATTATGTTACAATACTTGAGAGTTCATTAATTGATGCACATACACACAAATCTATGGAAATCCTAATTCTTCACATACCTATATAAAATATATCTATAAAGAATATATCAATTCTCTGAAGATGATTCCGCAGAGTTATCCCCACCATTCAAGATTTCATTCCTATATTCGTGTTCGGCGTATATAGGATTGATGACTTGTAATTTTTTTTTGATGAATTGAGATTGAATCGCTGTGTCTATCTACATTTAGTCTGAGGCTCTTGAGTTGTGGGTTCGGGCTATTGGGTTGGCATATATCATAAATTCATAAATTCTTGCGAGATGACTCGAACCATTTGATTTGTGAGATGTTGTGGGCATCTAATCACCTAAAATCATCATAAGACTTGTTTCTTATGCTTGTTAGCTATAGTGCTAAATTAGGTCGATACATTATAAGTATGCTTCAATTTATCGCTACTCATTATTTCGGGGCATCATACAAGTTGAGGTCTTGAACACACGTGATCATCTACAGCTGCTCAAATCGGATACCGATTCAGTTGGTTTGTCGCGCTATTGTACCTTGACAGTTCGCCAGACATACTGCTGAACGTGTTCTTGGCCATCGCTGTCGATAACTTGGCTGACGCGGAATCTTTGACCGCGATCGAGAAAGAAGAGGAAGAGGGCGATAAGAAAGAGAAGAGCCCGACTCTGCAAGAGGAGGAGGAAGGGGCAGAAGAAGAGCATAGCGTGGAAGAAGAGGAAGAAGAAACTGATGGACAGTATTCCGAAAGGTGAGTAATTTTTTTTTAGGCTCTTTATTGTATTTGGAAGGAAAAGTAGCAACGTATAGACTAAATACTGTCTCGATTGTTCATTTTTTCCAGAATTTGATTTTGCGATAATGAGCAAATTTCCAACATTCAAATTTTCATTCCTTCGTATACGTCACTACGAGTGAAACAATTGCTCGCAATCTGAGCTCACGTTTATCAATTTGCCAGAGTCGTCGTGATCATTATATATTGGTGTGAGTGTAGATTCGCAATGACGTTATGCACATCAGAAAAGACGAATTCAAGTTAAGGATCTTACACAATGCAGAAAAGTAAGACAAAGTACGTATGGCATAAGACTGCATAAGAAATTCGTCAACTTGAGAAAATATTCCAATAACACAATGCCGTCAAACGTAAGCGAAAGCATCTCAGAAACGGATGGATTTTGTGAGCATTTTGTTCTTACCTTATTATCTTATCACAATCTTATGAACAATGGTGTATTTAGTGTTTTTTATAACTACAAACCAAACACTTTCTTTCTCTAGGAATCTTTTAGTTTGGTTAGATTCGGCCAAATACGTCAATTTCAAGGATTTCTCTTATGTTTTCAATGAAGAATTCCATTCTTACGGAAATTTCCGTGAGCTACCATGCCTCATACGTAAATCTTACGGTTTTGCATAAGCATTGTGTATTCCTTCCTCTATTTCCATGATACGGAAAAAACTTACGCCTTACGTTATCCGCCGTATGTCCCACGTTTTAGCCTTTACGTGAGTAGCACACCATATTATAATTCCACCATGGTACCATCAAATTTGATTTCAGAAAAAAATTCGTGAAGATAATGTCTTGGCGCCTCCACCATTTTCATGACGTAATACTCAGAAAAGCCATGTACGCAAAGCTAAAAATGCGAACCGTTTCGCCAGTACAGCGTTAGAAGATTTTACGATGAATCTTATGATTCGGGAAATTTCGCTCCAAAATCATAGTTGGCAATGACGTATTCAACCAATAGTATGTGTGGAAATTGGATTATTTCCTAATATTATATACCGATTACCTGATGAAATGGAAATGGGAATTATAGACGAAACATGAATACTAGAATAGCATGATAATTGACGATTATGGGTATATACAAAATATCAATAATGCTGACAGCTCGTTTTTGAGGTTGATCATTCTAATTGGAATTTCTGTTGAAAGGTTGGAGAGATATTTTAATTTTCCCAAGAAATTAATAACTCGAGTCTGGTAACAGTGGTTGTAAACCCGATTTACCAGCCAGGCAAATCAGAAACGAACGAGGAGGAAATGTTGACAACATAAATATGGTCTTGGCAACAATTCTGAATGGGGATCCAATAACCTGGTAGATTTCAATGCAAACAAAACACAAGCATGTCTTTTCTCTAGAAAAGCCGATCTCACTGTGGCCAACATAAGCTTGTCAGGAGTAACCATACCTTTGAAGACATCCATTTCGATGCTTGGTATTACTATCAGCATTAACCTTTTTTGGGAAAATCACGTGAGATCAATTGCTAAAAGTGCATCCCAAAAACTTGGATTTCTGCTTCGGGCCAGGAGCTATTTCACTTCCAGCCAGCTGCTCATGATCTATAAAGACCTGTCCGAGCTGTCCTGTTCCCATATTTGGAGTGCAGCATCCAAACATACCCTGAAACTGTTGAATTCTGTCCAAAAAAGGACAATTCGTCTCGTGGGTGATGCCTGGCTAAGAAACTCATTCACTTCTCTGGAACACCGTAGAAAAGTTGGCGATTTGGCTCTATTTTTTAGATATTTTCATGGACGATGCTCTTCTGGAATATCAACAATTGTTCCTCCCTTGGCAGTCCCCGCGAGATTAACCCGTCGAGTTGAGGCTTCGCACCCCTTCGTGGTCACTTCAGAGACCTGCAGAACATCTCTTCCCAAAGACTCGTTTATCCAATGAACAACGAGGCTCTGGAACACATTGCCAAGGGAGGTGTTCCCTTCTCACGATGTTCTCTGATCATTACAGGATATCCCTTTTCGTGGGAACCAGAACATAATTTTACATTTCTGTTGAAGTTTTGAGTAGACCATACTGACAGCTTTATTCTCATTCAACATCAGATACAAATATCCCCAAAAGTCACTAGATCTAGGTAGAACGTCATAGTCTGCATCATTAATAATTCTAAATTGCTCTAAGTATGTTATTGGAAATCAAAATAATTATAATAATTTGAATAGCCAAGCAAGTACGCCCAGTTGGGCTCTTTTTGCAAAACCCTCCTCTCCACATATACGCTTCCTTTTCGAATCTCCCTGACCTTCTTATGAAGGCCAATATGTCCGTCCACTCTAATATGATCGACTCCTCCTGTTGGAGTTAGTCAACTCCACCGATTTCTAATCCCAGTCTCCCGTACGCCTCGCACTCGCCGAGAAAATGGAGTCACGTTTCTTCGTCTTCCCCACATCTACAGCAAGTACGGTTGTCGTCTATTCCCATTAGTGATAGGTATCTACCTCCTCATTCTAGGAGAATCGTATATCGCCTCTGGTTGGAAAACAGAATAAACCTATTATGTTCACTATTGTCAGATTGCTAATAAACGATAATTGAATTGATTGGTTTATTGGGATCTTTAAAATTATCACACCATTATAACTTATTCATAAGTGTAGGGTATCAATTAATGTTATGTAAAAATTAATGACTTACTTTCAGCGGTACTAATCAATCGAGACGTAAAAATAACAATGAAATCATGTTGCTGGGTCGTTGAGTTGGTGCTTTATGCTCAATCCTGTGAATAATTACTCATAAAACGGACCTCTCATTCAAATCACGATAATCTATTTCCATCATAAGTACTGTAATGTATTTTTCCGCAAGAATGATGTATATCATTATCATCTAATCATTCCTTTGCCTGAACACTGTTGATTATTATTACAATGGCTCACTATAAGTTGACAATTTCCAATCACAAAATTATTGGTTACGTCTAACCATCGAAGGTCATTGTCAATCTCACATTATTTAATTGCATATTATATTGTTTGTTTTCTGTTTAATTCTTATAATTTGAGTCGCTCTTGCAGAGTTCGGGGCGATAAGCTGAAAATTTTCAATCTGTGGTATAGATATTTTTTAGATCTTGAAGTGAAGTAGATAGATTGAAGAAGTGGAAAGGCTTCACTTCTACTCTACTTCTTTTCGAATTATCAGTTTTGATTGGAATATGTCCAAAACATCAAGTTAGTCTTGAAAATTAACTCTTAGGCACCGACATTAGTTGAACAAGCACCCATAGGAAATAATAATTTCTCGACAAAATTTGAAGAGAAAACTAAAATATCCGAAACGTTTCGCCAGCTACTGTCAAACTTCATCAATGGAATGTCAATTGTTGATTCTACAAGCTCATGAATGATGTTTTATCAATATAGTGCATACGTTTGCATTATTAGTTTCCATAACACACTTTATTGCATCATTTTGTAATATCTTAATCACAACAAATGTTGAACCATCCTTTGACAGATATCTGTCATGTCTTGGCAATTGCATATATCTGAATACACACATTTAGATCTATGGCAATTGTAATCGTTCATTAATATTCCGAGCATTTTCCATGTGCTCCTAGTTGATTCCCAACTAACCGTAAGTGTAGTCCTGCACGATTCGCTGTTGCGTTCTAATTAACAGTGCTGCTCCTAGAGTTAGTAACAAAGCCTACACAGAACACGCAGAAAGATATGATTATGTGGTTGTGAGCATCACAGAAGAAGTAGGACGGTGTATGTAGGTGGGTGTGGAAAACTACCAGCTGAGCGTGAGAGTGGACCCCAGTCTCTAACGGGGGTTAACGAGGATAGCTAGCAGGCCTGCCACTGCGCATATGGTAGTGAGTACATTACTAGCCTACAAAACACAGCCGAAAAACTCTGAAAAGAGAGCTGATGGGCGGTGCCTGAAAAAGGATGTTAGCCAGCTCTCTTGAGCGAACCACATCAGTCATTGAAAACACTTTGGGTTTGCAAAAAAGGTCCCATTAGGGACTAGTTGCTAACGTGCAAACGTCCCCCACCAGTACCAGTACCATTACCGTGAGTGTTGAATAACAAATCAATTCATCCCAAAATCAAATTCATCTCACTTCATAACACAATCTGTTATATCATATTCTATCTACCATATTTATCATAACCATGTTTTTATTAGGTCTCTTTCTCATGTACTTGGCAACAATTCTTGAATGGGGATCCAATAACTTGGTAGATTTCAATGCAAACAAAACACCAGCATGCCTTTTCTCTAGAAAAGCCGATCTCACTGTGCCAAACTTAAGCATGTCAGGAGTAACCATACCTTTGAAGACATCCATTTCGATGCTTGGTATTACTATCAGCAACCTTTCTTGGAAAAATCACGTGAGATCAATTGTTAAAAGTGCATCCCAAAAACTTGGTTTTCTGTTTCGGGCCAGGAGCTATTTCACTTCCAGTCAGCTGCTTATGATCTATAAGGCACAGATCCGACCTGCCCTGGAATACTGTTTCCATATTTGGAGTGCAGCACCCCAACATACCCTGTTTTAAACTGTTGGATTATGTTCCAACAACGGCAATTCGTCTCGTGGATGATGCCCCGCTCACAAACTCACTCACTTCTCTGGAACACCGTAGAAAAGTTGGCGATCTGGCTCTATTTTATTGATATTTCCATGGCCGATGCTCTTCTGAAATATCAACAATTGTACCTCCCTTGTCAGTCCCCGCGAGATTAACCCGGCGAGTTGGGGCTCCGCACCTCTTCGTGGTCACTTTGGAGACCTGCAGAACATCTCTTTCGAATGACTCGTTCATCCAACGAACAGCGAGGCTCTGGAACACATTACCAAGGGAGGTTTTCCCCGAGGCATATAACCTCCAGAAATTTAAGAAGAACACCAATTCCTACTTTATTTCCCTTGGTTCTCACGATGTTCTCTGAACATTACAGGATATCCCTTTTCGTGGGAACAAGAACATTAAAAAAATGTCTGTTCACTACAAATGTTGAAGTCAAATATTCACACACTTCTCGTTGGCCGATCGAGATGAAATTTAGGTGTTGTACATAGTTCTGGAGACAATGCAATTCAACTCTTATACTTACTTATACTTAATCCTATGCCTTTATACCGGTAGGTGTCAGGCGTATGGAGTTGTGGCTTTTTCCTCCATATATCCCTCCATGTTTTCCTATCTTGTGTCAGTTCCTTAATTTCTTCCCATATTATGCCTTTCCTTTCAGCTTCCTTTCTGATTCCATCATTCCATCTTCTTCTAGGTCTTCCTTTACTGTTTTCCTCGCACTCGCGCTTCGTATACTCAAACCTCTATCGTTAATTGGTTCATTATGTAGATTTTGTCTGAATGTTTGATTTCTCATTCTGTCTCTTCTTATTTTGTTTTCTATTTTTCTCGGAAATCTCATCTCCATTGCATTTATCCGTGATTCATGTTTTTCCATGTCTCGCTGCTGTAGATCATTGTTGGGTGTATTATCTTCTTGACTACTGTTGTATAGTTTTAAGTTTGTAGTTTTTCGGTATTTCTTGCTCTCCGAAGAAAGTCGTCTTTATCATGTCGAACATTTTCCCGGCTTTTCTCAGTCTGTCGTTTATTTATCCGTTCTTCCTTTCATAATTGTCTATTACTGACCAATTCAACTCTTTCGTAGCAAAAATGTTCAAAATGGTCGTGCTTTCAAAATGGCGGACGAGTTTTTGTTATTTTCGTCCTATCAAACTGAAAATTGATATATTGAGGTTTTTGAGCTTGAGAAAAAAAATGTCTAGTGAAAATCGAAAACTTCGAAATTTCAATCAGAAATTCATAGTTGGAGAATCTTTTTCTGTGCAATTGAAATGAGTGTGATTCGGTGGTGTGGAATTTCAATTAATCATTATTTCAGATCAGAGCACGATGAAGAGGCAGGATCCCAAACGAAGATAGCTGAGGATGGGGAATTTGACGAAGAACAAATCGAAGGCAAGTATCTAGTATGCACACACGAACGTTTTTATCCCTGGTGCACCGTGCTTTTGATTACACAATCAATTCGCAAGAATCACGAACCGCTAGCTGATGAAACATCGAATTATGAAGAGAAGGTGAATAACAAACCTTTCTCCTATGAATCTTCTGTGAATTAGTCGTTTCTTTTTCTTCATTTCAGGAAACAAAATCATCAATCTGAAATATATTTCTATATTCAAAGTTGGATATACAATACTTTCGTCAAGTACTGAATTAAATAATTTTCATCCAAACTATCCATTTCTGAGGAATTTCCTGACAGGGCGATTATCATTTTCGATTTGCTATATTCATGAGCAACAATTGATTATACAGGGTGATTTACGTTTGAGCTTTGACGTCTGCGAATTTTTTTCAAATAGAACACCCTTTATTATACAATTTTTGAAATCTCCATGAAAATCTGAATTCAAAAATAAGTTACAGATAGTGTTTGTATACAGTGATCTCATGAAGTAGTGGATAAATTCATTTTTGACCAAACCATCCATCTCTGAAGAATCTCCTAAAACAGATCGAGTTTGATTCTCAATTTGCCACATTTATAGGGGAAAATTGAATAAACAGGGTGATCCACGTTTGAGTTATGATGTCTGCGACAATCCTTTCCAATGAAACATCCTCGCTATATATTTTGAAATTTTTCAAATCTACATGGGAAGCTCAATTCAAAATATATTACAATAGGGTTTGTTTACAGTGCGTACGTTAAATTAAGTACCCTCCGTAAAGAACTGGATAAATTCGTTAAAAATTAAATTAATGATTTCTGAACGCTCTAAGCCGTAGATTTTATTTTCATTCGAAGATTCTTCCGAATGCATACAATATTTTGATATACAGAAATATTCATGTACGTCATCGGTATTTTTTTAATGGCAACCTCCATTTTCCGAGAGCACAGAATTTAACATACGCACTGTATACATACCTTATGTGTGATATATTTTAGAAATCAACCCCTCAGAGATTCCAAAAATTGAATAATATAAAAGGTGTTTCTCTTAGAAAATTTGTCGTGGAAGTCAAAACTCAAACGTGGATGACCCTGTATATTCAATTCCTCCGTATAAATATGGCAAATTGGAAATCAAACTCGATCTGTTTCAGGATATACCTCAGAAATTGATGGTTTGGCTAAAAATTGATGTATCCACTGTAGATTTTATACTAACCCTATGTATAATATATTTTTGAATTCAGCTTCCCATAGAGATTTCGAGAATTTAATAATATATACGGTGTTCTATTTGAAAAATGTTCCGCGGATGTCATAACTCAAACGTGGATTACCCTGTATATTCAACTTCCTCTCATAAATATGGCAGTTCAAAAATAAGAATCGATCTGTCTGGAAAGTCCTCAGGAATTGATATAGTTTGGCCAAAAATGAATGTATTCTGTACTCTACGAAAGCACTGTAGACACATCAATCATCTTCACTACTATGATTGTCATGGTGCATTCTTTCAGGGTTTTCATTCGATGACTTTGAATCTTTGCAATAATAGTTATTTATGTATCAAGGGCGTAAAGTAGGCGTTTATGGCCTGTGGCGTGAATAATGGCCCGATGGCGCTAGCCGAGGGCCATTACACGCTGAAGGCCATAAACGCATTTCACGCACGTGATACATACAAAATTTTATGCACTAGTGGTTTTTTTCTTGACTCAAAAGTGATGACTATAGTTTTCGATAAACTGATATCCCCCCGAATTTAATTTGTTACGTATAAATTCAGTAATAAAGAGAAGCGTAATGTTCTTGGATAATTTACATATGAAAATTATAGTACGAATATTGCAATTGATCGTAATAGTAAAACTCTTTGATCTCTAGAAGAGATTCATTCTACAGAATTTCACAATATGTATACTATATATAGTATATTATTATATACAGAGTGACCCATTTGAAAGCGGGCCACCCCTGTATCTCACGTAATTGTTGGGTAAGGATCATGAAATTTGCTGGAGCGAGATATATACCAACAATGCACTCTATAACCAAGTGGGGTCATCTTCAGTGATATACACTGCTCGCCAACAGCCATGGAACCATCCCAATTTCCTGAAAATGATATTAGGAGTCAAAATAGGTTGAAAATCACTTCGGATTCGGAATCAGGACGCCCAATTAACTAACTATTCATATTTTTCCTTGAAAATTTTCAGTTCTGAAACATTAAATTTTGTCGCAATTTTCATGGAAGCACCCCCGTATCTCACGTAATTATTGAGGTAGGGTTCTAAAATTTGCAGGAGGAACGGAAAGTCCAAAGATAAAGTCAATTACGTGAGATACGGGGGTGCTTCCGTGAAAAGTGCGACAAAATTTAATTTTTCAGAACTGAAAATTCTCAAGGAAAAATATGAAGAGTTAGTGAATTGGGCGTCCTGATTCCGAATCAGAAGTGATTTTCAACCTATTTTGACTCCTAATATCATTTTCCGGAAATTGGGGTGGTTCCATGGCTGTTGGAGAGCAGTGTATATCACTGAAGATGGCCCCACTTGGTCATAGAGTGCATTTTTGGTATATCTCTCGCTCCAGCAAATTTCATGATCTTTACCCAACGATTACGTGAGATACAGAGGTGGCCCGCTTTCAAATGGGTCACTCTGTAGGTACCTAACTAGCTTTGACGTTGTCAATCAAGCTGATGGTTGTTGTCTATAGCAATACATTCAATAAACGAGCTGAATTGTCATTCTTTGACTGAAAAGTAAAAATTAGTGATAATAATAATAGCGAGACTATGGAATCGGATGAAGAAGAAGTTTATGATATACCGCTGGATATATTTGAATCTAGGAAAATGATCATAGGTTTTTCATGAATTGATATGTGGATATAAGGTAACTAAGAACAGCGGGCGGTAAAGTGTGACTTAACGCCCGCAAAACCGGGCGGTAAAGTGCACTTTACGGCCCGCTAGTGCATAAAATATTTTATTTCACTCCATTCAAGTGTAATTGAAGGGCAATGGACAATCATTTCAATTTACTCAGGAAAAACACAATGAATACTTCTCGAACAAGATAACTCAAGTGTTATACATGTACTCACCTTCTGAGGAGCCCTGTGATCACTTCAGAATCATCACTAAAGGTATTGCGGTCTTTTTCAGAAATATCTGAAGCTCATCTACCTATATGGATATGGTCTTCAAATCTGAGAAAGAACAATATAGGATTCAAGTTTTAGAAATTATAGTTTAGAGGTTTGATTCATTCAACTCACCTTCAGCTCTCTATTCAAAACATTCTCAATCTATGAAAAATAGTATTTTACTAACGAATCAATTTTTGATACGTATGGCAATTATGAAAACAATTGACGTCTTCTAGCCTCTCTGAAATTCTCTAAATTTGATTCTCATTCAAACTATCTCTGACAACTCTTGAGCGAAATCAAAGGTCATATTGGGAAAATATGTACTTATAGCTCAAAAAATGGTATACAGTGGAGAAACCTATGATGGAATAAAATCCCTATCTATATAATAAAAATATATGTAGATAAATCCTCGGACAAGTCGATTTTTATTTTTGAAAATTATTTTTTGTTACATAAAAATATTCAACCACTCTTCAACTTCCTACCCTCAAAAATTTTCAAATTGTACGAAGGATCAAGTTACACCTTGTTTGAGAAGTATCTTGAGTCCCTATACAACGACCTTTCCCCAAGGGATCAGTCGAAAGAGTTGAAAATTGAAATTTGTGTCAAAATTATTCTAATGCATCTAGGGATAATACACAGTTCAGATACAGAGAAAAGTAATCCGAAGCATTGTATACAGGGTGAGTCAATTTTTCATAGCAGCAGCAGCTTGAAGAATAATTTTCTTTAAGATGAAAATCTCATGTAAGGTCTCTGTTTCCGATATACAAGCGGTGTCGAAATTTTTTTCTTCTGAGTTATTCCACTGACCTCAATTGTATCCAAGTTTTCGGAAAACATACAAGAGGCAAAAAGTTTCCAGTTAAGAGAGATAAATCAAATGGATGTCTTGAAATCAGAAGCAGCAGGCAAATGCGAGGGTTAAATTGGGTACAACCTTCAGGAGTTTATCGCCCTGTAGGTAATCGAAGACGCTTAATAGCCCCAAATAGTAGAGTAGAATAGAGTTATTGGAGTCTAATAGGTGTACAAAATTTTAATTTATTATGTTGACAATTGTAGATCACTTCAAGAACTCGAACTGACTCACCCTGTATGATTACCATTTTCCACCACTGTGTATCGAACAGTTTCAAATATCCCTTTATACAGGTTGAATTATTAAGAATGGTAATCTCTGAACTACAGATTGAGTAAATACCAAAATATGAAGATTTAGCCTTACATAGCTCATTAAAATGTTGCTGGCTTGGATCTCAAGTGGAAGATTTTATTTTGAAATTCCCTCAATAACTTTGTAAGTTTCAACAGCATGAACATAGCATTTTCAAGTTCCAGGGTTTTTTGACATGTGGAATACGAATTTGTGATTCATTTAGTGATTGCTCATAGAGGGTGCTAGTGGCACTGTATAACTTCAGTAAATTACATCATATGTCTTCCATTCCATTCTTTTTCTCCAGAAAAATGTACCAATTTTCTTTATTCAACTTCATTCTAGCTCTTTTGTCTTCTTCATAAACAAAAAATATCCTATAGAACCTTATCGAGTTGTTGGGATTGCCATATGGCAGGAAAAAAGAAATATTGCTAGAAATAACGATAATAATGTTTTTGTACTCAGGCAACTATTGAAATGTTCCGCCATTCTCTAGTAGATGAAGATATTGACAAATATTGACTTTGTATTCCAGGGTTGTGAAGTACTCGTTAGGAGCTTCAAACTGATGTGTCACAAGACCCTCCTTTCCATCAATTTTTTTTATTCCAGATGGCGCCTAGTCGCCATCTTGAAATTGTCATCTCTCAGTGAAGGAGCTATACCAGTTTCCCCGCAAATTTCAAAATTCTAAGTCATTTTTCCCCAGATTCTACGGAAATTTTACGCTGCACGGATTTGAATTTCGCGCCGTTCGTGGGGGCCGCGAGTAGCTAGCCGAGTCAAGCCGGCCTGTGATTGGCTAGCCGAGTCACGTGGTTGGGCGGAGGGGTGACTAGCGGGTAGCCAGCTCGTCAGAGACGGATGACCTTGAAAGGAACCGTTTTTGCTATTTTTGAGCTCAAAATTCACGGAAAAAGTCCGTAGATCTGGGGAAAAATATGCTTCGCTTTACATGGGCTCTTATGGGGCTTCCCTCCATGCATCTCGTAATTTCCGTAGAATCTAGGGAAAAATGACTTAGAATTTTGAAAATTGCGGGGAAACTGGTACAGCTCCTTTACTTCTGTCAATTCTACTTCAAAATATAGTATTCATGCACCAATTTCATCACCCCAAGTTTAAATTTTTTCAGTTGACCCGTTCAAAAAATAATAGGGGGGGGGGGGACATTAAAGAAAAGCACTGTATAATTCACATGCTGATGATAATAATGAGTTGGTTTGTTTTTCACCTTCGGAACGGCTATGAAACCCGACCCCAGAGGCCGCGCACTTTGTGATTCGCGAATCGTGAACTAGAAGAAGGAAATAGAGAGTTTGCGGAAGGGGGTTTTACGAGAAGCTTATAGACAAATTATACGGTATAGAAACTGTCATCTGTCTTGCTGCTTGTGCATAGTGGGTTTACTTTAACGAAATACCAGCCAACTTAGGCCAGAGATTAGTCAACCGCAGAACCTCTATGTGTCTTTGATTGGTTCCTCTATTTTCAAAAATAATGTGAAGCTGAGTTTATTGCTGGACGATATTGGCTTCAGCGATGCTAGCAATGCACCGTGTAATAATATTATTGGTCAACAGTAGCTAACCAGTTCAGATTGAACAATAATAACTTCACGAGGTTTCATTGCCAGAATCGCCAATGCTAAAATCGGCCTGCAATAAACTGAGCATAAGGAAAACAGTTTATTGTATACTGATGGTGAGTTATCAATGAAGCTTTCTTGCTTTTCGCGTCACGCGTCACGCAGTCTGATGATGACGCGTGAATCAGAATTGCTGCACTGTTTTTTCATTATTTTCATCAGTTCCCAATGAAATTACTCATCATTGTCAATTTGCATTGAAAAATCATGAGAATATCTGAGAATACTGAGAATATAGTACAATGCTTCCAAGATTTAATTTGGTCTCAATACCAAAAAAGCTTGGGGCTCCGACGGGATACCACCGATTATTCTCTAGAAATGTGCTCCCGAACTAATACCGGTTCTCTGAGAGTTGTACGACCACTCTTACGAATTGGGGATATTACCGTCCAACTGGAAAATTGTAGGAGTACAACCAGTTTCTGAAAAAGGCAGAAAGACCCTACCTAGCAACTACAGACCGATCGCACTGCTATCTATTTTTTCAAAGATCATGAAGAAAGCTATCAACATCGAACTCATGGAATACCTGGAACATTCAGGTATTGTCCACGATATGACTTCAGTCATCAGAGATCAACTGGTGACCAGGCTTTCGTCTCACATATATGGCAGCAATCTGTTGAAAATATGGTGAAACCTTAGCCGTGGCACTTGATATCTCCAAGGCATTCAATCGAGTCTGGCACCACGGACTCCTCGCCAAGCTTCCATATTATATAGCTTATTGCCTCCCCAGCTATGTTCTCTGTTAGCTAGTTTTCTCTCAGACATGTCTCTCCATGTAGTGGTCGACGGAGTTTCATCTGACTCACTTATCATAAATGCTGGTGTTCCGCAAGGATCAATTCTAGCACCAACACTATTTCTACTCCATATCAACGATTTGTTGGAAGCCACTTCATGTCCAGTACACAGCTCCATACCGCCTTCTCTTCCAGGGCTCCAATACCAGCCAGGCGAATCAGAAAAGAACGAGGAAGAAATGTTGACAACATAAATATAGACTTGGCAACAATTCTCGAATGGGGATCCAATAACTTGGTAGATTTCAATGCAAACAAAACACAAGCATGCCTTTTCTCTAGAAAAGCCGATCTCACTGTGCCCAACATAAGCTTGTCAGGAGTAACCATACCTTCGAAGACATCCATATCGATGCTTGGTATTACTATCAGCAAGAACCTTTCTTTGGAAAATTACGTGAGATCAATTGCTAAGAGTGTATCCCAAAAACTTGGTTTTCTGTTTCGGGCCAGGAGCTATTTCACTTCCAGTCAGCTGCTTATGATCTATAAGGCACAGATCCGACCTGTCCTGGAATACTGTTTCCATATTGTTCCATATTTGAATTCTGTCCAAAGAAGGGCAAATTGTCTCTTGGGTGAAGCCTCGCCCACAAACTCACTCACTTCTCTGGAACACCGTAGAAAAGTTGGTGATCTGGCTCTATTTCATAGATATTTTCATGGAAGATGCTCTTCTGAAATATCAACAATTGTTCCTCCCTTGGCAGTTCCCGCGAGAATAACCCGTCGAGTTGAGGCTTCGCATACCTTCGGGGTCACTTTGGAGACCTGCAGAACATCTCTTTCCAAAGACTTGTTCATCTAACGAACAGCGAGGCTCTGGAACACATTGCCAAGGGAGGTGTTCCCCGAGGCATCTAACCTCCAGAAATTCAAGAAGAACACTAATTCCTACCTTATTTCCCTTTGTTCTCACGATGTTCTCTGAATATTACAGGATATCCCTTTTGGTGGGAACCAGAACATAAAAAAAGATATACAGAGCTCAGAGCTGCATGAGATACGTAATTCATCACTTTTCTATCGATACTTCCACGGGAAATGTTCTTCGGAAATCTCTGCTATTATCCCTTCAGTAGCAATACCAGTCAGACGAACTAGACAAGCCCAGTCAGCACACCCTTTCGTTGTCAACCTTGAAAGATGTCGAACAGCACTTTATCAAAACTCCTTCATCCATAGAACGGCTAGGCTCTGGAATTCATTGCCTGAGGAAGCAGTATTCCCAACAACATATAACTTTCAGAAGTTCAAAGAAAAAATCCAATACCTACCTCCTGTCCCTATCCTCCCTAGGAACGCACGATTATAGGGATTTCCTTTCGTGCGCTCGAAGCGATAAAAAAAAAGGAAAACATCACAGTGAAAATAAAATAATTAGGTAGATGCCTACTTCAGTGATATTGCAATGATTTATTAACCACGAGATTACTCTCAGAAATGAGGGTTCAATGAAGTTTAATTCAAAATTTCTATAATTTCATGAAAAATATTGATGTGTTGAAAGAATTTCTCTGATGCTATAATGACTATTGAGGTTACCATAGAGGTTACTGAAACATCATCTCCACACAACACAAAGCAGCAACAAAGAAAAATAGAAATATTTTACCTTCATCGCGTCAAATATTTTTCAAATTCAGCGACACCAATCAGGTTGCATGACGCGCGACGCGTAAAGCAAAAACGCTGCATTGGGAACTTACCTTGATAAGACTGATGTCAAAAATATGAGCATAACGTGAGGTTTTATATGCGAAAAACCCCCCATGCGCAAACTCTCTACTAACGATGAGTTTCAGACGACGATATAGACCTTCGAATTGACGACGACGAAATGGAGGTAGTCGCCAGAGATTCCGCCAGACCTCGTCGATTGTCGGAGGTTACCATAGTTAAGAAAATTCGTCCTATACCGAAAGGCAGTGCATTCTTTATATTTTCGTATAAGAACAGGTAGGCCCCTCAAAATGGGACATAGCTGCCGAAGTATTCAATAGACGGGAATCGATTCGGAAAATGATTTGACTCTGGCGCACTTGAGAAAAAATTGAATCGCTGCTATCATGCCGATCAAATGATGGAAAAACAAGAGGCAACTTCTTGATATGAGTGTTGGAAACAAGTATATAGCACCATTTAATATGACACCCTGTTAGGTTGTGTGTATATTACTTTGATACTTTGACCATAGTCAACTTAGACAGTTGTTGTAATTTTCAATACTAACCCATCAAAGCAAAGGTGTGATTTTTAATTCTGGATATCAATGACATATATATATATTGACGTTTACTTTATGTCGTATTCATTCAGTAGCTCTTCCACTATGAGCTAAATCAGCTGAAATATTTTCTATTTGTATATGAGGTAATATCAATGTACCACACTACACTGTTTCACTACTATCCAAACCGACTTTTTAACGCGATACTCGTTTCACTAACTATGTTGGTATCTTCAGGAGAAGATTGAAATTGCATAATATATTTCAGGATACTGCTTCTATACTAGGTATGTTCACCTAACCCTGAAATACACCTACTGCGCAGTCAGTGTGTGTCAATTTGAGTTTAAATGTTAATCCTCATCCTAAATCACTAAACTGTTTAGAGGGCTATATGGAATAGATCCTCTACCCTCATTCATAACTCTACTACTATTGTCAACGATTTCCAGGCTCCAATATGTTTGTTCTAAAATTGTTTTATCCGTTGCTCCCCGTACGAGCAACCCTCAGAAGTCAAGAGACTTGTGCAAGCAAGGAATGACGGGAGCCCTAACTAAGTCCGACAAGCCATCGTGATCTAATTTTTCAACATTATTAACTTGTTCATTCAAGGTCATCAACTTGTGTGCTATTATGATTGTGATTAAACATATATGTTCAGCTCCACTGGATTTATATAACCTACCATATTTAAAATGTGTAAGGTGTTTCTACCCAGATAGCACAAATTCCTTTTGAGGCCCTTCTGAGGCGTTCACAATAATGTCCTCAGGACGTCGAGAGCGAGCCAGAGGACATTCTTAAGACGTCCTCCTGTTACCATTCTCTACATCCCTAATAGCACACGTTATCCAGACGACATCCATTTTATATCCATTTGCCGTCCAAGACATCCATGGACGCCAAACGGAACTATCTTTTGATGTACCTTGTTGTATATCCAGCTGATGATCTAGTATGTACTCCATCTGGAAGCCTATCTATGTCCATGGACGCACATCGAATAGCCACTTGGATGTCCATACCGGATACTTGGCAGTACATATTGGACATCCATAAGTGTATTGTCGGGATGTCCATTGTAGCGAGAAATTTTGAGAAGAGTGAAATGAGAAGAAGAAGATCTGAATTCATCTGTCAGAATTCGAAATATAATATAGGTTATGTTTATTTCATTCATTCATTTTGGTGGACTTTCATGATGATTACTAGTATTTTATAGTTGAATTATGCCCCAGTTTCCTGCTTTATACGGCCTTTATACAAGTAAGTTCTTATTATTTCTGTGTCTATTCAGGTGTTCCTAATTGCGAATTGTTACGATAACATAACATATTTCTTGGATAGGTAGGTGAAACACTCTTCACCAGAATGAACAGAAGGAAAAGGATTTGAAACAGGTTCTTCCGACGTATCTACTATGAGGTAGAAAAAAATTCATCGGATATGTTGACAAACTCTTGAATGATACAACAGATGATGTGTGGGCAAGAATCACTGACAATACTGGGAATTTTCATCTTGGGGCCAATTATCTTGCTCATCGACCTAAACTGACGATAAAAATTTATGGAACACCTTTTCACAACATGTGGCACTTGCATGATGAGGCTCCACCATATTTCACTCTGAATGTCCATTGCTGTTTCATTCAACAATTTTCTGATAATGTAGATGAAACGGCAAAGGAAATATACTATAGTTTATGGGGAGCAGTACCTATAAAGTTTAAGGTGTACTTCAGACCAGTGAATACTGAACAGGAATTATGGAGTCGGATTCAGAATGCATTGAATAATTTCAAAAATAATGCAGAAACGATGCAAAATATGCATTTCAGTTTTTGTGCTGCCAGTGCATTGGACCACTTCTTTTCCAATTTATCCTCCTAAGTAGGTACTATCTATTTTTTTATCATATTATATACTTTGGGTTTCACCCATGAACAATGTTTGAAATAAAAGAAAATACCATAACCTGTCTTTTGAATATGTAAAGGTTGGTATATATGGCCAAAATATGGACACCATATGGATGTCCATAATGGACACCATATGGATGTCCATAATGGACACCAAATGGATGTCCATAATGGACACCAAATGGATGTCCATCATGGATAACGTATGTATGTCCTAAAATGTGGAAAGCTGATCGCCTATGGACATCCATAGGATGTCCTGTGTACACAAAGTGGTTATCCTATGGATGTCCAGGATGTCCGGGTGAGGATATCCATTGGATGTCCAATGGATGAAGGTGTGTTATTAGGGATACTAATAACGTCTCAGAACATCCCTATAAAATCTTTTGAGACAACCTCAGGACATCATAGTAACAACTTGAGGCGGTTTTTGATGATGTTTCAAGGAGGTTCAAGATTTATGGGAGAATATTATTCGTATACAGAATGAGTCACTAGTGTGTTCTCCTCCGATATTAGCCAAACCGTCAGATATATAAAATGAAAATTCAAGTACAACAGTAATAGGGTTTCATAAGAATAATCACCTAAAGTTGTTTTCATATCTATAGGGTGTTCGAATTCCAAGATATCGGTTGATGATTGGTTTTTTTCAATGGAACACCTTGTTTATTATTACATTTTTGAGTTTTCCCTGAAAAGTTGATTTCATCAATGCATCACACTTGGTGTCTAGTGGGAATTATTACAGAGATATAGGGTGTTGACAATCGAGATTCTTCAAATGTAGGATTTTTTGTGTCGAAACTATTCATTAATGGTCAAAACGGCTCACATGCCCCTGTCTTAACTTTTGATTAGCTATCTACTGATATTTATTTGGAACAGATACAATAAGCTGATCAGTATTCTGAATGTTGAACCACCCTCTATTTGTTCCGATTGAATGTCATTAGATAGTAAATCAAAAGTTCACAGTTTCCACAAAAAAAATCCTAATATTGAAAAATCTTGTTTTTGAACACCCTATATCTCTGTAATCATTCCCGCTAGACCCCAAGTGTGATACATTGATGAAATCAGCTCTTCAGGGAGAACCTAAGAATGCAATAGTAAACAGTGTGACCCATTTGGAAAAAAAAACAATCATCAGTCAATATATCTTGGAATTCAAACACCCTATACAGATATGAAAACAATTTAATCTGAAAGTTCTCATGAAACCCGCCTATTACTGTTGTACTTGAATTTTCTCTATTTATCTGATGGTTTGGCTAATATACAAGGATAACACACTATTGACTCACCTTGTATTATGCAAATGATAATTTCTTCAAAATAATATGGATCTCATGATATTTGCAAAATTTCCCTCTATTTATAATAGGTTCAAATGAAAAACTTACATTCTATTATTTATAACTTATTCTGAAAAATTTCAATTTCCTTTTTGAAGAAATGTATTTCAGCTTCTTGTTGAGCACTACTAGAAGTTAGAAGTTATTGCCTATTGGTAGTTATATTTCTCCATGTTGTTTATGATTTCTGAACTCTGGACATTCCTGATGCAGAATCAACTGGAAGTTGAAGCCTTCATGCAATATTTTATAGATTCTGAAGAAGCAAAACTATCTGAAACAAACAATGTATTAATATTTCATGTCCAGTACTTACTATCAATGATATGATTTATGTAGTAAGGTACCAACCATTATTGAATCTACTGAAAGTTCAAGTCTGCATTATGTACAATCTTTCATAATTTCCGAAGAAGCCAAAATATCTTGGAATAAAATATCTCTGCTCTGATGATATCATCATTTTGTGTTATCAATAACCTCCTGAAACAAATAATGTACCTATTAATATTTCATGTTCCAGTACCTACTATATCAATGATTTGATTTAGGTACCTACCTTTATTGAATATACTGAAAGTGCAAACATGCATACAATCTCACATAGATTTCGAAGAAGCCAACATATCTTGGAATGAAACATCTTTGCTCTGATGACATCATCAATCTTGTGTTCTCAATAACTTCATCTGAAACAAATAATTAACCTATTAACATTTCATGTCCAGTACCTACTATATCAATGATTTGATTCAGGTACCTACCTTTATTGAATTCATACTGAATGTTCAAGCTTCCATACAATATTTTATAGATTCTGAAGAAGCAAAGATATCTTGGAATAAAACATGTTTGCTATGATGATATCATCAAGTTTGTGTTCTCAATAACCTCCTGAAACAATAAATAATGTATATGAATGTATCAATATTTCATGTCCGGTACTATCAATGATTCTATTCAGTATTTACTCACCTTTGTTTCTTGCTACCTGAGAGAAATGTCATCAACAGAGATTATCATCCTTTTGTTATTGTTATCTTTTAATTCTATGCAATAAGTTCTTCTCGCAATCATTTTGTGAAATAGAAATTTGATGAATGCATGATGGAGGTATTCAATGAATACTCTAATAATTTTGATATAATATCATTAATATTATGATGTGTCTTGAACAAATCATGACTATCATGAGACATAACCTCAATTCTAGTTCTTCTTTTTCTTCCTTGTGTCTTCGATGACACATTATTTCATGGAATGTCATCTGAAGACGTCCGTAGGCACGGAATTCTTTACATCCTCAGGCTGTCACTGAAAGAACTCATTTAGGACAATTACAGCGCTAAATTTACGCCTGATGATGTTCTTAGGTTGTAGAAAATAGAACGTCCTCTCCAGGCGTTTGGCGACACATTGAGGATGACCTTAGGCGAGTGTGTGC